TATGGAATTGTGATGATTCTAGACGTTTCAATGGCGGTGAATCATTCCTCTATAAATTATGGAGTTTGGCAACTAAAAGGAACAAGAAACGAGTTCAATCGAGAGTTACGAGCGTTTAGATTTTAGGTATAGTGTTCTCAGATTTACTTTAAATTTGAAAGCCATAGTTCACCTTTCCTTCTCAAACTTGTTCCTACGTGTTCTAAGGAGGATTGCCTAGAGGTTTGGTGAAGGAAGGAAGCCTCGAAATTGCCCCTATCCCATTCCCCCAACTTTGTCTACCATTGAAGAAAACTCAAAACATCACACAGTGTAGCTTAACATAACATAGCATATCATGACATATCTTAGCATATCATAGCATATCATGACGTATCATAATATCACACAGTGTAGTTTAACATAACATAGTGTAGCATAGCATAACATGGCATGTCACACAGCATAGCTTAACATAACATAGTGTTGCATAGCATAACAAGACATATGACACATGAAACAGCCATAAGGCACGTGTCATCATACATAAAACAATTATTCCAACCAAACGGGTAGTGGAGGCACTTACTTGATTGGTGTAGTCCAAAGTCACTACTACCTTGATGCTAGCTTAACGCCACTTCTTAAAATTTAATTTTACCTAAGGAGTCCTACCATCATAACTTAGAATTCTATTTAATTTATCTATATTAAATTTCGTTAGGTTAATATTTATAATTAGTCTAAATAATTCATTTAGAATTTAGACCTAGGTTCCTATGAAGTATTTAATAATTTTTTTAATTTTTTCATTTAGATTTAATGTTTCTTTGAATATAAATATGCTTACTAAACGTAAAGATACCATTCATTAGATACTATAATTTAATAACATACTTTATGTAAATAAAATATATGTTTATTATAACTATTTATTATAACGTTATATTTCATCGACTAACCATTTTTTTTCCGGCAATGGATTGTGACATGATTTTCTAAAATACGTACCTTATTTTTATATTTATTTTTCTAACCCAATTCAACTTGATTGTAACAAAATTGATGGGATTTCCATAAAAATGGAATTTGGAAATAGACTTACCTGAATGGATTCCAAAGACGATTCCTCCTTCATCAAGGTTGTGACTACATAATACGAAGCGCATCAAGGTTGTGACTACATAATACGAAGCGAATGGATCGGTAGATTTTGGTCTATTGAGGCTTCTATCCAATAGAAACTTTAATGATAATGATTCTACCTGCCGAAAATTTAAGGTAAATCAAGAGAGAGAGAGGAAGGAATCGAGGGTTTTTTAACTCAACTCAATCCAACTCATGTCATCACTCCAAACAGGTTTTTTTTAGTGATTTGGCAAGTCCGTTGAAGAGTTGTTTCTCAAATAGTTTGGCACGTTCGTTGCGGACGAATATACCATAATTAGCATCAGACTAAGAATTAATTTGTAACCGATCTGATTTAGCTATATCGAAAATTCTTATCTATGATTGTAAACTAGCTCAACAAACTAAAGTGCATATTTTTTTCATCATGATTAGCTAAATGAAAGAAATTGAGTATAAAAAGAGTAAAATTTTGAAGAACCTACATGTGTTCTTGCATTTTTGTGAGAGAACGATAATTTTTACCCAAATTGTAGTAAGAATGTGCCTATAATATAAGATAACGGTTAGGAATCACGACTCTCCACAATGGTATGATATTGTCCACTATGAGCATAAGTTCTCATGGCTTTGCTTTGGGCTTCCCCAAAAAACCTCCAATGGAGATAGTATTCCTCACTTATAAACCCATGATCTTCCACTAAATTAATCAATGTGGGACTCACTCTCAATAATCCTCAACCATCCTCCCCTCAAATAAAAGTCCACTATAAGCCTCCCCTGAGGCTTATGGAGCTCTCAAATAGCCTCCCCTTAATCGAGGCTCGACTCCTTTCTCTGGAGCCCTCGAACAAAGTACACCCTTTGTTCGACACTTTAGTCACTTTTGACTACACTTTCGAGGCTCACAATTCTTTGTTCGATATTCGGGATTCCATTAACATAGTTAAGTTTAGGGCATGGTTCTAATACCATGTTAGGAATCACAACTTTCCACAATAGTATGATACTGTCCACTTTGAGCATAAGCTCTCATAGTTTTGCTTTGAGCTTTCCCAAAAGGCCTCATACCAATGGAACCAATGGAGATAGTATTCCTCACTTATAGATTCAAGATCTTCCACTAAATTAACCAACGTGGAACTCACTCCCAATAATCGTCAGAAATAAGACCAAATCCCTTTATTCACTGTAATAATGTTGAAGACAACTCCTCACAGATTTCAAAAGAAACTCTATGCCTTCAAGTTTGTAAAAGCTTGTCAAATAACTCAAATTCATCCTCTAACAACAAACAAAAATCACCACAGGTTTTTCCTAACGCCCAAAAGCATAGGAAAAAGTAAAAGAGAAAAACTTGGACATAGTCTGTGATTCTGGTCTATCTCTATCTCATAGCCCTGTTGCTTTGAAATGCACTTATCATATACTAGAGAAGCGTACCATGGATGAATATAAAAATACTTCGTAAGTAGCCTCATTTGCTGGAACAAAGTGTTGTAAAGATTTAAGTCATGGACTCTTGATACTTAATACTCATTCGGCTCCCAACATTCCTGCATAATAATTATCTTGAAACATAAAGATCGTATTTCTAGGCTTAGCTAGTTTAGGTGTGCAACTAGCTATTTATTTGCTTAAGCAACTGAGATACATATGTGGGATACTACAACTTAGTCGACGACCCTCTAGAACTTCATCATAGTAACCTCATAACATCATAAACATGAGGGAAATGACCTTGTGCCTGAACCAACTAAAATATATACGTGGGTTTGGAATAAATAACTTCTCACTACTTCAGGCTAGTTGGGATTCCTTTAGTAGTCTCATCATAGTAAGCTAAAAAGACCATAAACATGAGGAGAGAGGTCACGTGTCAATACCAACTAAGATAAATACGTGGGTTGTGTATAAATAACTCATCACTATTAAAGATTGGTTGACAACCTGCCTCGTCATAACAACCTAATAACATAAAGAGGCACATACATAATCATAACATAGTGGCAGGAAACAACAAAGCACGCTCATATCTAAGCACTATATAGAAATTCATGTGTTATGCTACAAGGGTTTGAAGACGAATGATCAACAATAGATTTCATTCCTATATTTTCAACAGGGCAATAGGTTGTTGGGCGTTGCTTGTTGCTAATCAACGCCACGATTTCGGTTTTCCCTTTTTTTTTTTTTTTTTTTTTTTTTTTTTTTTTTTTTTTTTTTTTTT